CAGATGATTTTTGAATTCTTTTTTAAAAAATGGAGATAAATTATTTATCAAATATATAAATTACAAAAAATCCTATAAATTTGTGTAAAAACTATTATAAAGAATGTTGTAAAACGAAGCGTAAGTTTATCAACAGAGATGGCTGAAGCAACGGGATCGTGGTTCCTAGGCCCCCTGAACTTTTAAAAAATTATTAATATAGTTCATTAATTTTTATTTTTATTATTTTTATCTTTAAAATTTTATTTATTTTGTAAAATTTTAATTTTGCGTCTCTTGTCTATAGTGTAGACTACGCTAGATTGTAAAATAGAAGCTATCAAATGGGGAGAGGGCCCCGATATTAGATGGTTTACTTCTTTTCAATTATTATAATTATATAATTTAATATAATCCAAACTTTATGACATTTTTTCCTTTAATTTATTTCTCTATCAATGTTTCATTTTGCCCTCCTAAATTTTTTTCCAATATATATTTATTTATTTATTTATTTTAATTTCATCACATCCATTCAATATAATCCCACTCACTCGTACCAACATAAACGTGTTCAATATCAACCAGCCATTGATTTGAACTTTCAAGGGCTTCTTCTTCTTGGGCATTAATGATTTATAACTTTTTGGAAAATAACATAGCAACATGAAGGAGCTTGGCCTCTTTTTCAGTAACCTTACCAATTGTAGTAATGGCTGAGGAATGGAAGGTTTTGACATGATAGCTATAATCCTATATTGAAATGGCATCCTTTTCAGTAACCTTACCATTTTACTGTAGTAAATTTTCTTAAGTTCTTTTTTTTTTGACAAATTTTTTTTAAAAAAAAACATTGGCTCGACATTATTATTTTGGGAGATCTTGCATGGACAAGGATCGGAAAATGTTATTAATTAGAAAGGAACCAAATCTAAGTTTGAAAATCCAATTAAAATGGCAATGGGCCAAGCTTGATTTTGACTCGCAACATTAAAAAGAGTATACACAATGGTATATCAAATTTTATAGAATGGCACGTGGCATAAGGCATCTTTATTATTTAATTTTAAAGGAGGTAAGTAACATGAAAAACGTCTTTTCTATTTTGTTAATCATTTAAATCATTTAATAGTATTTTTTAAAAGCTCAAGAAGTTATAACTTAATTTATAAATGAGTTTGTTCATCATTTTATTGATAAAGATTCGATTTTTTTAGAGTTCTTTAAAGCAATAAAAAAGTAATTCTGTGTGAATTTCTTAATTTTAATGTGAATAACTTGTTTTTAAATGGATTAGTTAGCTTAGAGACATCTTAGACATTGTACCAAAAAAATATTTTTTAAAGTAAAGTAAAAAGTCAAAGGGTGTAGTTTTGATATTTTATAAATAATTATTAGTTAAATTAATTGAACAAATTAGATACTTAATTAAAATTAAAAATAATAATGATTATTAATTATTATATTTTGAACAGTCAATTAAACTCTCTCTCATTGCATAATCTGAAATAAAATAAAATAAAAAAATATAATATATTCCCTAGAACCGACCAAACATGAACCGACTTGCACCCTAACATGAGGAAACCGGTTAACTTAGTTGAGAATAAATCTCAAAGAGTTGAATTTGTACCCATAATGTTTGTTGACACTTTAAGAAAGATGTAATTGCACGTTACAGGTGCTTTAAAAAACTGACTGTGGACGTTGGCATAGCAAGCGAAAGGGAGCTGGACTGGAACATTTCATGGTTCAAGTTTGAAGTACTTCGGGATGGATGGGAGACTCAGCATATTTGGGCTTGAAGTTTTCATTCATTCTTAATTTCAAGACTTTGACCCAAGTTGTGGAGTCAGCGGCCGGGCTTTCCCATAATAAGTCCGTAAAGTTAGAATTAGGATGGAAGAGTTATGAAAGGCCCATTAGCCCAAAGAAATGGTAAACCAATGACACTCTTGGGCAGTTAAAAAGTAGAGACCAGTTCCCATAGTAATATAAGGAAAAAAAAAAAAAAGAGGAGTAGAGACCAGCGTATTGTGTAGCCAACAAAACGGCGTCAATGTCTTGGTCCTTTTGTTAGATCTAATGTACAAAAGAAATGAAAAAGTCACAGTCATTAACCAGAACCCAGATTTGATGACACACTTAAAACCAGCATCCTGAAGTTGTGATAATTTTCTAGCTGTATTTTCATGCCTGTCAAAATGCTAGCCATGAAAAGCTCCCATAGCCAAAGCTGGAAGAAAAGCAAACATGACATACAAATTATCCTGCAAAGAGCTTGGTCAATTATACAGATCAGTGTTGTAGCTCTTGTCCTAGCTTAATTTCTGTTGTCAACCTCACAACCTTGGCTTCATCCTGCAAAGGGGTTGGTCAATTAATTATGGAGGGACATGCGTGTCCACCTTCTGTTTCTTCTCACCACGCGCGTACCGGTACTGCTAAAAGCTTTCCCCTTTCTTCTTAGATTAATATATATATATATATATATATATTTTGTGATCAGCTAGATTAATAAAAATTTACCAGTGGCATAAGATCAATTTCTACCTTTTATTTTTTCGGTTATCCAAAGCAGACCTTACAAGGAAAGACTCATTACAAGGCTTAGGATAAAGAGTCCCATCTATGCATGTCTTCTTGTAAAAACATAAGACATCTAGGTAATAGGAGGTTCCACAAAAATATGAAATCCAATATCAAATTTAT